CACCTGGCACAGTGAGCGCACCTGGCACTGTGGGCACTGCAGGCACACCTGGCACAGTGAGCGCACCTGGCACTCTAGGACACCTGGCACTGCTGGCACACCTGGCACTGTGGGCACAGCAGGCACACCTGGCACAGTGGGCACTCTAGGACACCTGGCACTGCTGGCACACCTGGCACGGTCCGCTCCAAGGAGATCCTTCTACCTGCCCTGTCCCAAGAAAAGAAATGAGCAGAGCTTGTGCTGACAGGATCTCTACTGACTACAGACTACAGCTCTCCAGGCCGGTCCAGGCTGGTTACTGTAGGAGTGCAATCCAGGAAAAGTACTGTTACCTTCAAGCACATTCAAGCCTGGTAAGTCATTTTCACAGTCACGCTGGTAATTGAATAACTAGACCCGCTGTGTAACCGAGAGCCCTGCAGGAAGTGGGTCTGAGAGACTTCCGGTTCTGCTCTGCGCCTATAAAGCCGCGGTGCTCTGAAGCCCGTCTGTTTTCAGAAAGACTGTCTGAGGACAGAGCGGGCGTATATCGGGCACAGGGCTGTTCACTGAGAGCGGCAAATAAACACTATCCGAGTGGAGGAAGAAGAGAAGAAGAAGAATTGTTGAGGTTCAGGAGCTTATCCGGTTTTGTTGTGCTGGTCCTGGTGGAGTGAAGGCTTCTTTTACTTCCCGGGTCGTACCGGACAAAAGTTCAGGTCCTCGGACGGTTCTAGTGGGGTCGGGCCGGACAGAAGTTCAGGACCTCGGCCGCTTCTGGCGGACTGAGGGCGGAAGCGCCGCCCGGGTGAGTTTTAAACTCAGCCTTATCGGCTCCGCGTGCTGTTCTGCAGCCCCGCGCAGCCGGATCCCTACCGGCAGCGGTGACGTCAGCCGGAGCCCCTGCGTCAAGGTCGGATCCCGACGTAAATGTCCGAACTGAACATGAGCCCACGCGTGCGGAGTTACCTTGATCCGCTGTGTGATTGTGAAGTGTATGAATATTAGCTCGAACCTTTTCACACAACTAGAAAGTTCTCGGAAAGAGCCCTTAATTCGGACTTCTCTGTGCTCCCGAACACCTAACCCTGAAAAAAGCGGTGCTTCTGAAAACTGGTTATTTTCATTTAATGTTAGCCTGTGCAGACTTACTCGGCTTTTTATACGGGTCTCCGTTTTACTGGTTCTCAGCTTTGGTAAATGGCTAATACATATTGTATTCATAGTTCGCATAACTCATAGCTATAGGCCCAGTCGCTACAGAAGTGAGATGGTATTCAAAATAGAAAATATTTTTTTTTCTTTCACGTGCAAAAGAGCTAAGTTACTTGTTACTTGTTAAGTACGTTTCATCCTTGCTGTATACCAGAACATACTCTTCGGACGATGTACAAGTCTCTCTGTTCCTGGGGAGATTCTCCGTTTTTCCCACGAGTGCAGAAACCTACTCGGAGGTGACGTCAGTGTGGGGAGAGGACGGGCTGTGCTGTCCCGTGCCGGGTGGCCGCGAGAGTAAACCGGGATGACGCAGCGGAAACGGTCTCTCCCTCTAGGCCAGGAGCCAGTGACGTCAGGACTCGTCAATATGACGTGTTTTATTTTGTCTCGGTTCTGTGCTGTGCTCATTTGTCAACATCTCAACAGCTCTGTGGCAAGAGTATTATAGTACTGTAAAAACCAAGATGTTTTCGTCTTATGTTATCAAGGTTTTAGACTATTACAGTACACCAGGACTCGTCAGTGAAATTATAGTCTGTCTGTTGTCATCGTTTGCTGTACACCAGTTTGCCATGGGACTATAGGGTTCACATGGCACCACAGCTCATGAAGATGAACTACATTAGGGAAGTGATGCAGAGTAGCGTGCTCTGTAGCCCACCCACGTGCAGAGTATTACTGTACTCTGAACTCATACAAAAAGACACACAGTCTGGAGAGGCTATTTATGAAACAAACTGAGGTGTTTATACCAACACATTCACATCTTCTAGGCAATGTAGAGAAGCAGTTAAAAAGGGCAACAGAGAGTTAGGATATCCAGTTAAAGGGACAGAGTTTAAAATCAAGGGATTATACATGAATAAAGTTGTATTAATAATCAAACAAGGCCTCTTTTAGAATAGTGCACATAATTGTGTTTTGACCACATTGTAAGAATACACTGCTGCTTTGGGGTCAGTCCAGTAATGGTTTGTTATAATTAGGATCGGGGCCCAGAGTCCTACACTGACAGGATGAAGGAACCAAACCTGTTTAGTCTTGAATAGAGGAGAGTACAAGGGAATGTTATTAAAGTGCTCAAAGACAACCTACTGGAATTCATCAGAATCAACAGTGCAATATGCACTGTTAGAAACTCATTTGGGGAAGTGCTTTTGAAACCAAGACTAACTGACACCTCTTGACACAGAGGCTGGTGGGAGTGTGGAATGAGCGATCCGACCATGTTGAAATTGATACCCTTGCTTCTTTCTATAACTGCTGAAATCGGTTTCTCCAGCCAGGACAGGAGGCACCTCTTTACACAAAGGGTGGTGGGAGTGTGGAACAAGCTCCCCAGTCATGTTTGAAATGGCTTGATGAGATGCTGGGAACAATTAGCTGCTACTAATAATTAATAATTGCTTACACTTACAGTGTATATAGTGCTTTTCTGGACACTCCACTCCAAGCACTTTACAGGTAATGGGGACTCCCCTCCACCACCACCAATGTGCAGTCCCCACCTGGATGATGCAACAGCAGCCATAGTGCACCAGTACACTCCCCACACAGCAACTCTCAATGGGGAGGAGAGCAGAGTGATGAAGCCAGTTCAGAGATGGGCATTATTAGGAGGCCATGATTGGTAAAGGCCAGGGGGAAATTTGGCCAGGACACTGGGGTTACACCCCTGCTCTTTTCGAGAAACGTCCTGGGATTTTTAATGACTACAGAGAGTCAGGATTTCGGTTTTACGTCTCATCCGAAGGATAGCGCCTTTTTACAGTATGGTATCCCCATCTCTATACCGGGGCATAAAGACCCACACACACCGCAGGGTGAGCACCCCCTGCTGGCCCCACTTACACCTCTTCCAGCAGCAGCCTTCGTTTTTCCCAGGAGGTCTCCATCCGTGTACTGACCAGGCTCACACCTGCTGAGCTTCAGTGGGGCTGCCAGTTGTGAGTTGCAGGGTGAAATGGCGGCTGGACACTAACTTCCAAATAGGTGACGACCTCCTCTCGTTTCTCTCTGCTCTTATTGGAGGTGATTAAAAAGCCAGCTGGAGCTTGGGGGTCGCCAAGCCAACCCCTTAAACGAAGCACAACACTGAGGGGTCACTGGAGGTTCCCTTTTGTTTTCGTTTCTGTAGACCACTGGGTTTCACAGGGTTCTTGCCTTTTGTAAAAAGCATGCAATTCTAGATCCTCCCCACTAGGTGACGCCAGGGGCTGCAGGAAGGAGCCACGAGGGTGAACTGTAATGCAGTGAAGTAACACATTTAAAAAAAATAGCTGCTCTTCTTTAGAATGAGATTTCAGACACCATACCACACCTACAGCAGTGTGAGCCAACTGGAGAGACAGTCCTTCTCTTACTGACGTCACATCTGCCCCGACCATATGGATCTTCCTCTCTGTGTCCTCTGGTCTCCCGAGCT